TGAAGTTGGGTTTCCCTTGAACAGGATGTGTCCCGTTCGGGCACTAGTGGCCAGATAGCCGTGGGTTTGTTGGGGGGCTACCTTGAAAAATTGGTGGAAGAGTTCTAGGGTTGGTCGGGCGCCGGCATCTTTACAACGGCAAATAAAACCCGCCATTGCCCGATAGGAGTTCGGCATAATTTGGGCCGGTACAACTTCGTAGAAATTGAAGAATGAAATGAAAAAGGGGTGTAGCGGAAACCTAAGGCCGGCCCTAATTGAGTCAAAATGAACTATGGTCATTCTGGGCCTATGACGCATTGGGTGAAGCCCAGCTTGCAAACGGAAATCCACCGGGTCAGGGATAAGGGCCGGAATTTCGGCCCTATTATGGGAGGTCAGTTTTTGCCGCCTCTCCCTAATCAATCTTAGGTCAAGGGTATGGCGAGGAAAATCGTTGGGACGTCCGGCCGCCATGGAGGCTATTTCGTCCTCGGATTTGGTATCGTCGGAATCTTCACTGGAGGAAGAAGAAGTGCTAGGAAGGTCCTCTGCCTTAGCCCTGGTATTCGTCGCCGTTTCAGTAGAACCACCGGTAAACGGGACTGTGATGACGTCCACAATAGCGGCGTCACGGTCATCTCCATGGGAGGCCATCTCCGAATCAGAGGAATGCTGTTTGGGGCTCATCTCGGTCGAGCCAGAAATGAAGATAAGGAATCCGGATTTGAGAAGTTACCTGAGCGATGGAAGCTGGGAGAAGATTGCAGGGGAATCAACAAGGCGCAGAGAATTGCAGAATCGAAACCCGGAATTGAGAAGTTAAAGGCTAATTTATAACCTTGAAACCGTCATGTCAAGAACCAATCAGGGAGCGACACGTCACTAGGAGCATTTAAGCTAAAACACGTGTCTAATGAAAAGACTAAACGACGGTTACCATGATGAATATGGGGAAATGAAGCGGCAGCCGTCAAATCACAGCATGGGGAACTGATTACTTCTGTACCCCGATCACCATTCGGAGTATTACAACATTGATATTCATACTTCCTAATGCACTCACTATCGTTCGAGACATCGGAAGTGGGGGACTTGTGTTGGGATATTGATCCAGAGGCCCAATACCCGGATCAGGAAGGCCCAAGATACCCGGCCCGAGCAACGGGCCCATCACATGATGATAGGATAATCATGGTAGAATTAATGCCGAACGAGAATCGGCCCAAGTAAGGGTTGGCCCAGTAAGGAGACATACCGAACGGAGTTCGGACTATATATCATACTTGGGCCAATTTGACAGCATCTTCAGCATAGCCCAACATCCCGTTCGGGCAACGGCCAAACCGCAAGTGGCCAGGTGCAATTAATGCCAGACTGTGACATCAGCAAGTGGAAGCATGGATGACCAAGTCGGTGGAACAACGGCCAATCAGCATAGGGCAGCCCATGCTCTCCATTAGTATAAATAGAAGGTTTCAAGTCATTTTAAGGGTTAGCATTTCAATACTCAGGCTCTAAAATAGCATCATTGCTCTTATTTCTTGTATTAAAGCATAGTTTCCGACCTACCGATCGGGAAACTCCTTGTAATCAGATTGGTTAATTAATACAAGTGAGCTTTCGAGTGTTAGTTAGTTCAGATCTTATATTTTTTACACGCTTTGATTCTGTGTCATTCCTGATATATCCAAAGTTCGTGTTGGGTTTTCGGATCTACGGGATTTACCTTCAACATTGGCGCCGTCTGTGGGAAACTTGCAAAAAGTTTCACATTCAAATCATCCAAAAACCTCTATTTTCAAAAATGGTCAGAATCAGTTCCTATCATACAAGCGACGGTTCACGCCGTCACGGGAGGAGTCACACCCCGGGGAGTCAAAACCCTCAGGGACAATCCAGTCGAGGATCGTATCCTCGTTTTGATGGGGACTTTGTGATTCCCGAATCTCTGAGAAGAAATCCTCAGGCCATGCGTGACATGGCCCAGGTCATGCAGCATATGGCGAACGAAGAGGAAGGAGGTTCCAGCTTTACAGGGGAGATTCCACGCACGGAAACAACCACAGCGTCATCCCGTTCGCATGCCCATCGGGATAATCGACGTAGCGCCCCACCAACAGCGCACCACAGTCCGAGTGATCGAACCCCGATCGGGTCACAAGCTAGAGGACCAACTCCCGTTAGTCATCATTTCCAGTATGCCGAGCGGGAAAATACTAGGGCCCCTCAACGGCAATGGGACCGGGACTGTACGGATATGAGGGCTCCACCACCGCCCCCTTTGGCGGCCCAGGAGGAAGAAATGCCTGAGATGAGGAGGCAGATGAATGAAATGCGAGACCAGATGAACCGGGCGCCTGTACAACCTGCCCCAATTCAGCTGGGAATTACTTCCCCGTTTACTAGGGAACTCATGTACGCAGATATCCAAGGGGGTGCCAAGCCCCCGACCGGCCAAATCTATGACGGGGTGGGAGATCCCCACGTGCATTTGAGGAGTTACCAAGGGGGACTCATGCTGCTAGGCGCACTCGAGGCCGCCATTTGCCGGTTGTTTTTTAGCACGCTCAGGGGGCCTGCCCAGGAGTGGTTCGGGACACTGCAGCCCGGGTCAATCAACAGCTTTGCCGAGTTATCGGCGGTATTCTTGGCCCAGTTTGCTTCCAGTGCCAATCCCAAACGGCACTTCAGCTATTTGACCAGCGTGAAGCAAAACGCCAAAGAAACCCAGGGGGCCTTCCTGTCTAACCTGCACTCTTCGGGTCAAAGTCATATTTATATTAATTGTAACTCTTATGTGCAGGATCAGTCTCTCTTGATCCCCAAGAGAGTGCTCATTGACTTTGACAAATTTCCCTATGTTATTTCCAATTCCACAGGCAGCTTTAGTCGTCATGTACCCTAAAGGTAAATTGTGAACTTGTACCCAAAAATCAACACAATCCAAGGACATTCCAAAAGGCCTATCAGTATGCCCTAAGCGTCGTATCACTACTAAGTTTTGATCAAAAGACCAAGACCCCTCCTCGACTACACGACTGATGTCTACTTCATGATAAAATTGGAGAAGAAACTTAGAAGCACCAATCTCTTCAATAGTGACTCCCCGAACCAGCCTCCAAACTATGGCCATAGTTTCATGAAAAGAAATTGGACGGGCAGATTTATCTGTAACCACCCTTGCCACCAGAAACAGACTCCCCCTCAACATTTTCATCACCCCAATCGGGTCTGCTTCCAAGACTATGCCCCTATTTCCTTCTCAACAATAGTGACTTTATTATAGGGCACAATAAGCGTATCCATGGCGAATGTCAAAATTAAACAAATCAAGATACCAAATAACAACCAAACTAAAAAAAATCAGAGAAGCATCGGCACAATGACCAAAAGGTTCTAACCTCTTTACCCATTTCATGATGCTCTGCCAAAGACTGGAAATCAGCAATCCCCTTCAACCAAAACCAGCAATCAAACATACGTTCACAAAGGAACGTAGATGAATCCTCGGCAACAAGGTAGGGGTGGGCATAAAACCCGAACCGAACCAGTATCGAACCGTCCCGTAATGGTACCGGACCGAATACCGGATATATAAACGGTTCTATAGATTTTTATCTCGTACCGAAATCGTACCGTTTGAAACGGGTACGGGACCGGTCCTAGATTTTGATAACCGAAAAATACCGGACCGAACCGTTCAAAAATAATGCATTTGAATTTTATATATTTTTTCTATATCAATAGATCTCTTTTATAGATCAACAATTTTAGAAAATAATGCATTTGAATTTTTTATATTTTTTCTATATCAATAGATCTCTTTTATAGATCAACAATTTTATACCCCAAATATGTATACATGTGTCCCTAAGATATCTAAATGTGTTTATATACTTGTGTGTGTGTGTGTGTGTGTGTGTGTGTATGGAAGAGATCAGATAAAAAGAGGTTCTCCCGTGCAAAGTTCTGTTGCACTTTTTCACAGTGACAAAAAAACTGTGTTTTAATTACGAAATTGCCACCACGTTTTTTATCAAATTTAGTTCACTTTTGGCTCATTTTGAGCCATTAGATCTGGAAATGAATGCACGAGATTAATTCTCACTTTGAATGGGAAGACCTCTTTGTATTTGAACCATCCTATATATATATATATATATATATATATATATATATATATATATATATATATATATATATATATATATATATATATATATATATATATATATATATATATATATATATATATATATTGCTATTTTTTTCTCTTTATATAATTGATGTTCTATTTTGGTATGTATTGAAGGAATATTAAAATTTTAGAAAACATTAATGACTATTCATTTCTAGTAATGTAGTGTACATGACTTTTTGTTGTATCATGTTTGTGCAATTTTTACAACCTAATTAATATGGTTTAAAGGTTAGCTCTCAAGGTTCAACTATAAATTAAATCAGAACTACATGGTAATATTTAACCTAGAACGAAGAAGAACAACATTGAAGATTTCTATTATATTCAACAATTTGATGATATTCGTTTTTATATATTCACATGAACTTAGTAAATTAAAGATGATGTTTATCTCGTGCATCATTATTTTGCTATATTTTTTCTTAGTTGTGTTGCACTATTTGTGTATTTGTGAATTTTAGTAATGTGTATGCAATTTCTTGTATTTATTTCAACATTTCATGTGAGATGGTTGGTTTGATGATATCTACTAATTGCAAGTTTTGTTCAAATTTTTTAGCATGTGTTTGGCATTGTACCGTACCGTTTTGTACCGTTCCGAAACGACATGGTACCGAACGGTTCTATCTTTGGAACCGGACCGTTAAAAACCTCACGGATACATTACGGGTTTAACCAATTTACCTTCCGGATCACGTCCACCCCTACAACAAGGTACCGGACCAGAGACGAGCACACGGACGGCTCACAGTCACCAACCCAAAACGATGAGAAGCTAAAAAACGAAAAATAGAAATAAAGCAACGATGAAGATAACCTGTAGCCAGAGAGAATTGAAACCAGAGACGCCGATTGCCAGCCCTCCTACGATCGATCGATCTGAAGGGCGGCGCTTCCGCTAGGGTTCATTCATTCTTCGCTGCGACTAGTTATTTCCCCAATCCTTAATTACTATGTACTGAAAAATGAAACTAAGTAGGCCTGGGGTGGCCCTAACATTTAGTCTCACTACACAGATGAATCAATGGCTGCAGCATAAAACACGCCATTTCTTATTTTTTTTAATATTAAATCATATTCTGAAATGTTCTCAAAATACAAAAGATGCTACTTTCAAAAAAGAGTATTCATGTGCCTGAGATTCAAATTTGACCATTTCCTAAAGGCTGCCTTGAATTGTCTCCAGAAGCCCAAGCTTGATAGTCCTTCACTAGCTGCGTCAGTTACACATAGTAAAATAATCTTAGGTATGAAGATTCATTCATAATCTTCAACTGAAAAGCGAGAGAAAGGAGGCTATCTTAAGCACAAAATACATAGCCAGTTGTATAATGCAAATGTCATCATGAATTGCACCATAAATGTGCTAGTTTTAGACTAAAAAAATTGTGATCAGTTAGATCATGTATACCACTATAGCTGTTTAGCTCAACCTATTCCCCAAATGTAGAAATAATTTAAAAAATAAACATCGCTCATCTTCTTTCCTACCCCCCTGAAATCCCAGAACCAAACAACCCCTGGAATGGGCTGTATTTATTGCCTTCTAAAGATGATAGAATAAGCAAGTCTATATGTTATAGTATAATAAATAAGCAAGAAATGTCTAATTCCCTGCAATCTAGTAATTTCCTTTCCTGGGAAATTCCCCTTTACTATGCATAGTTTCCTTATCCCTTTGGCATCTGTAACATTTACATTTAGCCTAGCTAAAGTTTGTTAGTTTGAATGGCCTATTAACACCAATCCGAAGGACAAGAAAAGAAAAACATACTATTCCCAAGCATTTGCTCTGTGTGTACTTCTGTTTTGATTACTATGTGAAATTGGATCCTCTCTTATGGAAAAGGGACTAAAGCTAAGAAATGAAACAACCAAGAAAATTGGTCGACACAATATATAATTTTCAGCCAAACGTGTGCTGCAACAAAAACAGAGCTTTAGTGATAGAAAGAAGGTTTGTTTGACCATGGCTTGCTAACTAGCCATGGTACATGTTTGGATGGTAAAACAACAGATGTGGAAACGACCACTACTACTTTGTGGTGGTGCCACAAATGAAAGTCACATTTTTGCCAAGTCCTTTCATCTTCACGCAACCTCAACTGTACATTTTTAGCATTACTATTCCAATTTAGAATATGTGTTCCTAAGATGATAAAAAAACAAGCAACATAATCTATTAATAGCATTCAAGGTTAAACATGACTTCTAGAGAGTGACCAAAATACGAAGTTCTCATCTCTCTCAGTGGGGAAAAAGATAAAACGAGATGAAACCCCAAATTGAAGTTCGAATATATGCTAATATCACCCCAAAAAAAACCTTCAAGGCCTACTCAATCTGGGTTGAATATGATCATCTTAAGCCCATGGCCTTTACCTTTTGTTACCTAACATCATGCTATGTGCCAGTTCCGTGACCTATATAGTTTCTGCTTATCAACCATAAAGGAATTAGTTGATAATGAAAAAAAGTACTGCTTTTGTCCGAAGATGTTGAAATGAATAAAATGGCACTCTTACTTTCGTTATAGATATTATTTACTTAACTATTTAAGAGGTATACTTAAAATATTGGTTTTGATCATTGATAGCTTAACATCATCAGAAATTTCAATCACAATATAGCAAATTCAACAACATCACCCGAGCAGGCTCTATGTGTTATTGTAGCGAGGTTTCACTCTCTATTGCAGAAAGAGTGTGTCTGGAATTTATTTCTAATGTGTTGTCAATATAAAGGACACCAATACTGAACTTCACTATTTGTCATAAGAGTGTAACAATCACCACACAGAGAAATGCTTCTCTTTCGGCAACTCAAAATCATTTGCAACTGTACATTGTCAATACAAGATTTTTACAATCAGCAATCCCTATTTTTATTATAGCATAGTTATTAGACACATTCACCTTCGTCTTACTCGATCTCAATCAGTGCTTAATGGTTCATCTGAATACATAAGCGGTAAGCTAACACACCTGAGCCATAAACCGGGGAAGCGTTACTCCTAGTACCCCGTCAAGGACCTGAGAACCAGTTGATTCCATTGCTTGGACCGGAAGTGCTCGAAATGCAAAAGGGATTTCAACAACAACCTGTGTAATCAAATTCAACTCATGTACTCCTTTGTTGTGTGCTTATTTTTCTTCACATGAAATTAGCCGGATTTTAGGCATTACCTCGATGAATGCATCTGAAGTAAGTTGCTGCACAGCTGAGTCTACTAGTTTGTTATCACAGGATATTCTATTCACCATAGAAGCTGATAACAATCTCCGGAAATAAGTCTTAGAGCATACTCCGTATAAGTAAACATTTATAAATTATAACTTGTAAAAGCTTGTATTTTGATTGAGTTGACTAAAAGTAATCTCTACGTAGTACTATTTTTTGAGAGAGAAGGTAATAACTTTTTTCAGGATGTTTTTACTTTGACTTATTTCAGTCCCAGACTAGACCAGACTTTAACAGACCAGATTTCGACAGTTATAAAATACGGAGTACACAAAGACCAAACATCTTCCATACCAGACCAATTCAGACCAGACCACAAAATTTCAGTTCAATTAAAAACATCCTCGGAATGAAAAAATGCATTATCTGATTGGGATATACTCTGTTTTTTAAAATTACAGTTCTATTTATGCAACATAGATTTTAAAAAAAGATACAAACAAACACATAAGTCACTGCTAGATCAAAAATTGAAATTGTGCAATCATGAAAAAAGTTTAGACTTTAGAGTTATAAGATTTACCACAGCCATAACATGTGCTCATCTTCAGTCATCGAGAGTTCTAGATCCAAACAAGCACTATAATTATACAAACTGCTAGAACTTGCTACGTTCAAATCACTTCTACTGAGTTTACAAAGTTCATTCAGTGCAGACAGATGGGAAACTATGTTATAGTGTAGCCACTAGCCAGCAATATTTAATTAACTACAAAGTTATAAGGTACATGAGTTGATGCAGCATTGCAAAGATTAATTAATGAGAGAATGGGGTTATGAGATGAAATTTCAGGCACAATGGTAATCCATGGCACAGTCACACAGTTTGTGGAAGTATCCATTATCTCCATGACCCAAAGACCTTTACAGAATTACACTACATCCCTTAATGTGGGTTATGTAACCTTTACTGAAGAAGAAAAAGATTACCATTAGAGGTATTAGATGGTACATGAATTGTGAAGAATGTGCACACTGACATGACATTTGCAACAAATTTCTCCTTTTCTCATATCAATTCCAGAATTCCTACAGAATAACTAGGCATTTGACAACTGTCCAATTGATCAGCACTTCTAAATGTAAGGCTTTGTTTAGCACCACAAAAGCAAGCATATAAGACACCTATTTGTCCTTTTTAGAGAAAGCTGTTCAAATAAGCTCTATTTCCTGGGATCTTAGTTGACACGTCTCCAGTAACTTTTCAAATAGAATTTGATATATAGGATCGGTTTTAAAATTATTTTATATGTATGCTTTTCTTTGATATCTTATTTCCATGCTATGTTAAAAGTGCTCAGCAGTTTAAACTTATACGTTTTCAGACAAATATAGTTAGGATGTTTTTACTTGGACTGTTGGTCTGGTCTGGTCTGAACTGGTCTGGTTTCTTTGTATTTTTATAACTATCCAAGTCTGGTCTGGTATGATCTGGTTTGGGAGGAATTACGGTCCAAGTAAAAACATCCTTAATCAGGTCCAATGATAACCAACAGCGGAATATTTCCGGAAATACACACTTAAAAAGATGCTTACCTTCAAACTTATCATTTTGGGCAACAATAATAGGTGATCCCTCAAGCTGATAAAAACAAAAATGCAAATAAAATTAGAACGTATGAAGCAATCAGGATAAACTGCAAACTGATCAAGATTCAAGAACAATATATTTGAAGACCGTTGTGTAATGCCAGTCAGTACCTTGCAAGAAAGGAGGTTGATAGAACATCCGTCAGGCTTCTCCTCAACTCTCACCAACAAAACAGGGCTCACCTCAAAAGCGAAGAATTTAATACCATACAAATAACATCTGAATGTATTATCATCCACCCTCTCAATCCTCTTCCCATCCAAAACCGAATACTGACTAGCGGGCAATCTCATATATTCCACTTCAACAACAAACACTCAAATCAGTTGAAGTAAACAAGCAGCATAGACTATCCAAACAAAAAACGAACAGAAAATCATACTCAGAGGTCTTTGTTGCTGTAAGACAGACACTGATTCCTTCCTGCGAGCTATAAATCGAAGTCTTGGAGTAGATTTGGCAGGAGTGTGAAACGATCCTCTGAGAGAATAACAAGATGAAGAGGTTAGAAGTTTAGGGTTTCTTAACCGGAACGGGAAGTAGCACAAATTTGTTGTACGTGATAAGGTCGGATGTAAACTCGACTCCATTTCCGCTCTCCACACTGGGTTTTCAAAAAACAAAATCTTGATTACTGCCAAGGGAGGCTTTGATGAACTTCATCACTGACTGTAAAGTCGAGGACCCACACGCGAGCTTTGGGTTGAAACGTCGCCGTAGAAACCTGATCAACTTCATCGATAATGACAATACGCACGCAAATATACGCAGATACGAAGAGACAACATGTGCATCGACGCTTTGGGATTTTATCGCGTGACAATATGCACAAATCGCACCGACAATATCAAGAGAATTACAATTTATTAGAGTCCGCACGAAAAACAATGCGGAAATTGACATTATAATTGGAAATGCTGATGGATTCATTGATATACGGAGAAGATTACAGTGAGTTGGAAATTTAAACCAAATTCAAGCTACTTTACAACAACTAGCCCTAATTCAGAAATTCTCAAAATCCAGAGCAAAGTTGAAGTATTCAAGAGCTTGTGAATTTGGTGACGGCCTTGGTGCCTTCAGAGACAGCGTGCTTGGCCAATTCACCGGGAAGAACCAATCTCACGGCTGTCTGGATCTCGCGGGAAGTGATGGTAGGCTTCTTGTTGTAGCGGGCCAGGCGAGATGACTCTTGCGCAAGCTTTTCGAAGATGTCGTTGATGAAGCTGTTCATGATTCCCATGGCTTTGCTGGAGATACCGATGTCAGGATGCACTTGCTTCAGCACCTTGAAGATGTAGATCTTGTACGTCTCCACCGACTTCTTCACCCTCTTCTTCTTCTTATCTCCGGCAGCAGCGGCTCCGCCCTCTTTGGGGAGCTTCTTCCCGGCCTTAGGCTTCTTCTCCGCCGCAGGTTTCTCGGCAGCTGGAGTCTTCTCCGCCGCGGGCTTCTTGTCTGCCTTAGGGGCCATCTGTTCAAGCAAGGATACAGAAAAGGAGAAGATGATCGAAAGATTGAGTTAGGTGAAAGGGACGAATTTTCAGATGATGAGAATCACAAGACCAGGGTTTGTTTATATAGGATTTATGAGAGTGCTGTGATTGGTTGTCTGGGTATGACACGGATCGAGGTTTCGCAGCTGACAGCCGTTGATGAATTGAACTGATCAGCGGCAGCGATTCAGCTTTGAAGACCGGGTTTACTGCTATCCGAAATTCAACCTTACGGGGTTATTGACTTATCCGAAATTAGAGGTATCCAACTATCCAAGTAGATACTCGCTAATAGTTTAGGGTCATCTTAGTAATTGAAAAAAATTGAAATGAAAAGATTACAACTGTTAAATAAAAAAGTGACTATTTGATTTAATTTTAATTAATATGACAACTTGTTATGATTAATTAATGTTAAGAGTTACAGACTTTCTTCTCAAAAGAATTCAGTGTAAATTCTCAAAAAAAGATACTGAGTATAAACATTCAATTGTAGTCGTGTCAAATATCCAACTAAAAATTTTTACACTTTTGAATAGTACAAAAGTTATAAGGTATGGAATATGGATGGGTGTCTACCAAACATGCACTAGATTAAAGACTATGACAGTAACGAGTCGAGGCGAGCTCGGGCACCATATGCTTGAGTTTGGCTCGATTTGGTAATAGTGGTGCTTGGGTGTGAGTTTGAAGTTCGACAAGTTTTATAAACAAGGCTTATGTTCGACTTGATATGCATTTGATGTTGGAAATTTGGGAATATTTCAAATGAATAAAATATACAAAATTATTATCTCTATTATCTAATATTTTTGTGTTGTATTGTTTAAATGAATTAATAAAGTTTCACATTGAAGCTCTTTTGAAACCGTTGCAGCTCTTTATTTTTTAAACGTTGCTAACCAACGTTTGAGAGACTTTATTATTGATGTCATTATTAATTACATTTATTATTGTAATAATGTTATTTACTAATAAAACCATTAGCATCAAATGATGCGGAGTAATTTTTACTCATCTGTTGGCAATGAACGCTTCTAGCTTTCTTTTGCTAGAGTTTTTAAGTATATATATGTGTGTGTTCGACCAGGCTAGTGGGTGTGGAAAAAAAACATTATTTTTGAGCTAAAACATCCCTTCTTTTTACTCTGTTGGATTAGTAATTTTTTACTCTCGTTGTTCTGTTACCGGCTTACGCCGAAGAGCTCGTTTTATCTTGGGGAAAGATTTTCGCTAGTCGGAAATACTTTCTTGAGGACAGCGTTTACGCGACTCGAGCTATATTATTTTCTAACACTTTTTTGCAGGTATATCCGGCGAATTTCTTACAACAATCTCAAGAAAGTATCATTGAACGAAGTATGCTCCTGCGATTCCAATCAAATAGGCCGCTGAAATCTTTGTTCACAATGAGGCTGCCAAACTTGGTATTTCTATTAATTACCTTAGTGTTGGCAATTTTATACCTGCATGAATCTGCCTGCATTATTTTATCTCAATCTGTGATTATGTTATGTGTTACCCTATTCACAATAAGCCTTATTTTAATCCCACTTATTATAATATATGTCACTTTATGTGATAAAAAGACAACTATGAAAAAAACAACCCACTTAAATCAAAATCAAAATTGATTAAAAGTGATGATATTTTTATTGCGGTTGTTTCTCAAAGTTGTAAAATAAGTGATGTGAATGAATGGATGGTAGACACCGGGGCTACCAAGCACATTTGTAAAAACAAAAGTGCCTTTACCTCTTATAGTTCTACTATGGGAGATGACGAAGAGCTCGTGTACCTAGCGGACTCAAAAACCGCAAAAGTGCACGGTAAAAGGGAAAGTTCTTCTTAAACTCACACCGGGGAAAACTTTATCACTAAATGACGTACTTTATGTGTCTGAGATTCGAACTAATTTAGTTTCTTTTGATTAAAGTATCTTTTGATTGTAACAAAATTGTTATGACCAAAAATGATGTTTTGTGGGCAAAGACTATTGTAAGAATGGATGTTATGTGCTTAGTATTCCAAAATTAATGCGTGACAATGCTTCTGCTTATTTGATTGATTCATATGATGTGTGGCATGCTAGATTAGGACATGTGAGTGATTCTTATATTAAATTGTTGCATGATCGTGGCTTGATTTCTAGTGGAAAGAAATTGACACTAGAAAAATGTGATATTTGTGTTGAATCAAAACAAACCAAAAAATCATGTCCTACCACACATAGAGAGTCAGAATTGCTTGAATTAATTCACACGGATTTAGGTGATTTAAAAAATACCATGACTAGAGGTGGTGATAAATTTTATGTCACCTTTATAGATGATTTTTCGAGATACACTAAAGTTTATTTGCTTAAAAGTAAAGATGAGACTTTTGATAATTTTTTAGTGTATAAATCCGAGGTGGAAAATCAATTGAATAAGAAAATTAAGAGAGTGAGATCGGATAGAGGGGGTGAATATATTTTAATAAATGATTTTTGTGAAAGGGAAGGGATTATCCATGAGATAACTCCTCCGTATTCGCTTGAATCAAATGGAATAGCTGAAAAAGAAAAAATAGAACATTAAAAGAAATGATGAATGCTCTTTTAATTAGTTCTGGTGCGTCCGATAATTTGTGGGGGAGGCTATTCTTTCTGCTTGTCACTTACAAAACAGAATTCCTTATAAGCATAATAAGAGAACACCCTATGAATTGTGGAAAGGTCATGCACCTAATTTGAAATATTTGAAAGTGTGGGGGTGTTTGGCTAAAGTCTTATTGCCTGATCCTAAGAAGAGGAAAATTGGTTCTAAGACATCTGATTGCATGTTTATTGGTTATGCTAACTCTAGTGCTGCTTATAGATTTCTTGTTTTGAAAAGTGATGTGCTTAATTGCAATACTATTATTGAAACAAAAAATGCTGAATTTTTTGAGAGTGTGTTTCCTTTAAAACCATAATACAAGACCGTTGCACCGTATCGTGAAAGTGAGCCATTAAAAGAAATTGAAACTTTTAATGGTGAACCCTCTAATTTGAGAAGAAGTAAGAGGCCAAGAATAGAAAAATCTTTTGGAAATGATTTTTATTCATATCTTGTTAATGATGAACCTTTTACTTATTCACAAGCTATTTCATCAAAAGAGGCTCCTTTTTGGCTTGAAACAATTCAAAATGAAATTGATTCTATCCAGAAAAATAAAACTTGGATTTTAACTGATTTGCCTAAAGGGTGCAACCAATCGGATGTAAATGGATTTTTAAAAAGAAATTTAATCCGGATGGTTCAATTGACAAATATAAAGCGAGGCTTGTGGCAAAAGGATTTTCTCAAAAACAAGATGTTGATTATTTTGATACTTTTGCACCGGTAACGAGAATATCTTCCATCAGAACTTTAATTGCTTTGGCTTCTATTCACAAACTTCTTATCCATCAAATGGATGTTAAAACAGCGTTTTTAAATGGTGAATTAGAGGAGGAAATTTATATGGTGCAACCGGAGGGTCATGTAGTTTCTGGACAGGAACACAAAGTGTGTAAGTTGATCAAATCTTTGTATGGTTTGAAACAAGCTCCAAAACAATGGAATGAAAAATTTGATGAAGTATTATTTGCTCATGGTTTTACCTCACTTGAAGTAGATAAGTGTGTATACACTAAAATAAAAAATGGTGTGTGCATTATTATTTGCTAGTATGTGGATGACATGTTAATTTTTAGTAGCAACCTTGAGCTAATAAATGAGACAAAATCATTTCTTGCCTCAAAAATTGATATGAAAGATTTGGGTGAAGCAAAACTGATTTTAGGTATTAAAGTCATAAGGAAGGATGGTGGTATCATACTATCTCAAGAGCATTATGCTGAAAAACTTCTAAAGAAGTTTGGACATTTCAATGTCACACCTGTGAATACCCCTTATGACTCTAATACACATTTGGCAAAACATAGAGGTGATCCTGAGGCTCAATATGAATATGCACAAATAATTGGGAGTTTATTACATTTAATGAACTATACGAGACCCGACATAGCCTATGCTGTCGGAAGATTGAGCCGATATACCCATAATCCAAATGGGGATCATTGGACCGCGTTGAGGCGGTTACTGAGATATTTGAGAGGTACCATGAATTATGGTATATTTTATAGAGGTTTACCCGTTGTACTAGAGGGATACAACGATGCTAACCGGGTCTCTGACTCAGATGAGATTAAATCCAATACATGATATATATTCACCCTTGGAGGTGGTGCTATTATGTGGAAATCAACCAAACAATCTATCATTTCTAGATCCACTATGGAGTCCGAGCTTATAGCTTTGGAAGTGACTAGTAGTGAGGCGGAGTGGTTGAAAAATTTCTTAGCAGAAATTCCGGTTGGTACAAAACCAACACCATCGGTGTCTATTCTTTGTGATTGCCAAAGTGCAATAAATAATGCTAAGAAAATGTGTTATAATGGGAAGAATAGACACATTCGTTTAAGACACAAAGTCATTAAACGATTATTGAAGAATGGAATTGTGTCCATTAATTTTGTGAGGTCAGAAGGTAATCTAGCGGATCCTTTGACGAAAGCCCTAGGACGAAAAATGATAACCGAAACATCGAAGGAAATGGGACTAGTGTCACTTTGAAACAAATGGGGATGGGAACCCAACTTGTGTGATTGGAGATCCCATGAAGCAAGTTCAAATGGGTAATAACAAGTCTTCCATTTGGTTCTGCTAGCCTAACTAAATTTGCCCATTTCCATGATGTGAGATATAGGCTAGAAACCGCATTCTCTGTGAGGGTGAGCTAAAAGCTCTTAATGATTATCATAGCCCTGAATTTTAGGGTGGTGTGCAAAAGCGGTACACACTTGATGATATCACCTATATGAGTGTGAGGTGGGGCCGCCTCCATGAAGCATGACAAAACTTCTAGAGCACTCATGAACACCAAGCACGCGCATGGCCTTACGGTGCACAACAGCATAATAACGAGAAATTGTGCGGGGTGAGACATGACCGTTAAGATCCTTATTTACCAATAGTAGCTTATTGGTTCAAGAAACTATACGTTTCACCAAAAGCTCGGTTTATTAAGACTTAATCGTCTCGGTCTGGTTCATAGTCTAGGGACACCAAACTTAAAGTCTCATTCCTTTAATCCAGTAGATATTTTCTAAACTATTTTTCCAAACTCCAAAAATTATTCATTTGAAATATGTGGGGGATTGTTGGAAGATTGGGAATATTTCAAATGAATAAAATATACAAAATTATTATCTCTATTATCTAATATTTTTGTGTTGTATTGTTTAAATGAATTAATAAAGTTTCACATTGAAGCTCTTTTGAAACCGTTGCAGCTCTTTATTTTTTAAACGTTGCTAACCAACGTTTGAGAGACTTTATTATTAATGTCATTATTAATTACATTTATTATTGTAATAATGTTATTTACTAATAAAACCGTTAGCATCAAATGATGCGGAGTAATTTTTACTCATCTGTTGGCAATGAACGCTTCTAGCTTTCTTTTGCTAGAGTTTTTAAGTATATATATGTGTGTTCGACCAGGCTAGTGGGTGTGAAAAAAAAACATTATTTTTGAGCTAAAACATCCCTTCTTTTTACTCTGCTGGATTAGTAATTTTCTACTCTCGTTGTTCTGTTACCGGCTTACGCCGAAGAGCTCGTTTTATCTTGGGGAAAGATTTTCGCTAGTCGGAAATACTTTCTTGAGGACAGCGTTTACGCGACTCGAGCTATATTATTTTCTAACGCTTTTTTGCAGGTATATCCGGCGAATTTCTTACAACATTTGATGTTTGAACCGAGCACTTGATAAGCTCGGTAAATATGTTTGAATGAAAAAAAAAATAAGTGATGCTGATTAATAAGCTTGTTCTTGAATTATTTGACATGTACTTGATTCGTTAATAATCATATTTAAATTTATAAAATCATGCTAATTACTTATAATTTTGACATGTGCATGACTTGTACCTATAATTTGTGGATGTTTGATAGGCTCGAGATCGAACTTAGCCGAATATTACAATGCTCGAGTTTGAGTTCGATTAAGTACTCGAACTTAAAACTCAAATAATTTTTGAGTTCAAAATTTGTTGAGTTCGGCTCGTTAAATTTCAAACTCGAATAGCTCGAAAAAACTCGATCTGCTGACAAAGTAATTGTCTAACTGAATAAAAAAATATTGATATCACGTTAAAGTAAAAAACTGCATATAGCCACACTCTATCTTAAAATGCCAAATTCCAAACTCAAGCAACTCGTTCAATCCGCATCGGTGATTCAGGATGGGGACGGGCCATTGTTACCGCCACAGATGATATGAGCATCATGATGCTTTTTTACATAAATAGATACATGATTGGAGAAATACTAAAGAAAAGGCATGACAGATA